GCTCTTCCGCGACCTCCCGTGATCGGTTGCAATCCCGCGATCCCGCTTCTTCCGCAATCTCCGATCTTCGATCGTCCGCAATCCCACTTCTTCCACGATCTTCGATCGTCTGCAATCCCGCTTCTCCCGCGCATCTGATCGTGAGCGCTGACTCTTCTTCCGCGATCGTGCCACCGGCCTTGTTACCTATCAAGGTATTTCCTCATCCGCTTTCGTCTTGGATTCAACCTCTTCTCGCCCCTGGATTACTGACTCAAATGCCCCCGATCATATGACCGGGGATGTCTCCTTATTAATGGATTACCGGCTGTGTAATCCGACCCTCACTGTTCGGATTGCTGATGGATCAGCCTCCAAAGTTGTTTGTTTTGGTTATGTCCGCATCTCTCCAGATTTATTCCTCACTTCTGTGCTTCATGTTCCTACTTTGGATTGCAATCTGATCTCTATTAGTAAGCTCACTCATGATTGTCATTGTGTTGCTAAATTTTTTCCATATGTTTGTGAATTTCAGGACTTGAAGTCGGGGAGGATGATTGGCAGTGCTGAGTTGCGCAGTGGTCTCTATCTCTTCAACAAACCCTCTGTCAGTCTAGTCTCACCCACCGGTTGTGTTCCAGTATCGAGTTTGTCCGGCTTAAATCCACTTAGTACATCTGTATTCCATTCCAGCGTTAATAACGATAGTGAAATCATGTTACTTCATTATCGTTTAGGTCATCCCAATTTTATGTGCCTGGGGAAACTGTTTCCTCATTTATTTATTAATAAAATTCCTACATTTTTTAATTGCGAATTTTGTGAACTTGTCAAGCACACTCGCACTTCATTTCCTCGATTATCATACAAACTCACTCATTCCTTTTCTCTGATCCATAGTGATGTCTGGGGTCCTTGTGAAAAAAATATTTCTGGGGCCCAATGGTTCGTATCCTTTACGAGCGGAAAAATCGTCACTTGTTGGAGGTAGCCCGCTGTCTCATGTTTACCACATCGGTCTCTAAATGTTATTGGGGCGAGGCAACATTAACCGCTGCCTACCTCATAAATTGGATGTCATCTCGTATTTTGGGTTTTCGTAGTCCAATTGATATCCTCCTTTGCTCCTTTCCAAATCCATGTACACTCTCTTCAGTTGTCCCTACCAAACTATTTGGTTGCTCCATCTTTATTCATATTCACAAACAACACCGCAGTAAATTAGACCCCAAATCTGTCAAATGCACATTCATCGGGTATTCGACCAACAAGAAAGGCTACAAGTGTTATTGTCCTTCAACTAAAAAGGACTATAATTCTATGGATGTCACCTTTTTTTAGCATCAATTATACAACCAAGGGTTTGTCATTCAGGGGGAGAGTAGTCGTAGTGAGCAACAACCCTGTGTTCCTTTACCAACTGACACGGTCCCTCATCGACTGTCAAACCTCCTCCATCTCCTATTCAACCCCCTCAGTCTACACAACCCACACATTCTCCTATTCAATCTCCTCAGTCTACACAACCCACTCCTCAGGAACTTGGCTCTATACAAGACGAAACAGAACTGTTGAAAGAATAGAGAACCTAACACCGCTTCCAGCTGCTGTCCAAGAATCTAATCCGGCTCCAAAACCCTCTGAAATTCACTCAGGTACGGAATCTATAGACACTAGTGATTATGAGCTTACCCCGCCTGTGAAAGATGATTCTGATGTTCCTTGCA